TCTTCAGCTCAAGGCTAGCACTCTACCACTTGAGCCACAGTGCCACTTCTGTCTTTTTCTGCTTATGTGGTGCTGAGGATTCAAACCCAGGGTCTCATGCATACAAGGCAATTACTGTACTACTGAGCCACCTTCCCGGCCCTAGCTTGTATTTTTTTTAAATCTAAAGAAATCCAGCATTGTTGGGAAAAGCAAACGGTCAACTACAAATACACTTCCAAGCCTCTCTTGCAGTGAAGGTAGCAATGTGACACTGCTCTGGCCAGTGAGGTATAAAATGTAATGTTGAACTTCTGGGAAAGTTCCTTAAAGGTGTGTGTGTGGGAGGGGGGAGGGATTCATCTGATCCTTTAACCTTTTGTTTCCTGTTCCAATCCTAGTCTCTGATAGCATGCCTATCTTTTGAATTCCTCCTAACTACTCAGAAGGTTGAGTTCTGAGGATTGCAGTTCAAAGCCAGCCTGGGTAGACAAACCCATGAGACTTTTATCTCCAATTAACCAGTTAAAAGCTGGAAGTGGAGCTGTGGCTCACATGGTAGAACACCAGCCGGCTAGAGTGAAAAGCTAAGGGAGAACTGAAACCATGAGTTCAAGACCCAGTACTGGCATGTGTGTGTATACAATAAAAATATGACATGACCATTTTGGTTTGTGTCAGAAATTCTTCCTTGATATCCCAGTAATTGCTATTCCTTGTGAATGAGCCCTTCTTTCCAGACATCTTTATTTTGCTCTCTCATCTTCTATTTAGGCTTTAAAAAATGTGGAGACTAGCTGGGTGCTGGTGGTTCATGCCGGTGATCCTAACTACTCAGGAAGTTGAGACCTGGAGGATAAAGGTTCGAAGCCACCCAAGGAAGAAAAGTCTTCAAGACTCCCTCTTCAATGAATCAGTAAAAAGCTGGTCTGGAGGCATGGCTCATGTGGTAAAGCAAGAAAACTGAGTGAAAATAGGAGGCCCTGAGTTTAAGCCCCAGTACTAGCACCCCAGAAAAGAAAGAGAAAAGGGGAAGGGGAAGGGAGGAAGGAAGGAAGGAAAGAAGGGAGGGAAGGAGGAAGGAAGTTTGAGAAAAATCTATCCCAAGAGTAAAGGGGTGCCCTGTGCTAGTCCATGGTATTGGAACTGGCCTCATTACAGTCTTTCCCTTGTCCTGCTGCCAAGTCGGCTCATTCAGCTGAAGGATTAAAGACAATCGCCTTCTAATTAGAGTGCCAGCTCCCATCAGCAGTACAAACACTCAGCCCATCAGTGAGCAGAAACGGAATATAATAAACGGTTCACTTGTGTAGATCTATGAACTCTTTCCAGCTGCTATGCTAAAAGGCCTTTCCTAAATCTGCGACCAACATGATTCATCAAATGAAATACAGGAAAATCATTTCCGTCCTGATTGTTCTACTTTGAGTTCTCCGTTTAAAATTTTCAAATGTGAACTATAGGCAATATTTTTGGTCAGTTCATTTAAATATGCATGTGCAACAGTCTTGATTTATTTCACCAGAATATACTTGTCAACCTATGAGTGTAACGTTTTTGCAGAAAAAAAAGTACACTGAAAAAAACATTTTAGTGGAAAAAAAAAGTGAAAGGAGAGAGATCTGGGTGTGGCAGTGCATGCCTGTCATCCCTGTCCTTAGAAAGCTGCAGAAGGAAAATTAACAATGCCAAGACCAGCAAGAGACTCTATCTCATATAAGAAAAAAATGCCTGGATGCCTCTAATCCTAGCTTCTTAGGAGGCTGAGAGCTGAGAATTGTGGTTTGAAGTCAGCCTGAGCAGGAAAGTCTGTGAGACTTTATCTCTAATTAACAGCCCCCAAACTGGAAGTGGAGCTCTGTGGTTGAACAAAAGACTCAGAAATATTGTCCAGGCCCAAGTGCTCAGAAACAAACCCCAGGACCAGCATATAAAAAAATAAAGAAAGTGGGGGTGGGGAGGGGTGAAGGAAGGAAGGAAGGAAGGAAGGAAGGAAGAAAGAAAGGATCAAATGAAAGAAGACAAACTAAAAGCATAGGACTTGTGGTTAGGAAGAGGCAGGTCTGGTGGCCCATGAGAGATTAGAGATGGTGTGGTATATAGGACATCACAGACCCCTGAGATCTCTGGCCATCTGCTACCAAAAGTGTGTATGGCTGGGCTCCAATGGCTCATGCCTGTAAACCTAGCCACTCAGGAGGCTGAGATCTGAGGATCATGAGCAGTTTGAAGCCAGCCAGGTCAGGAAGTCTGTGAGTCTTTTATCTTCAATAAACTACAAAAAAAGCCAAAAGTGAAGCTGTGGGAGAGTGGGAGAGTGCTAGCCTTGAACAAGAAAGCTCAGGGACAGAGCCAGGCCCTGAGTTCAAGCCCTAGGACTGGCCCATGCACACATATGCATGCACACACACACACACACCACACACACACAGTGTGCCTGTCTGTTGTAGTTCTTGTTGCTTCCTGTTTCCCCAGCACCCACCCTGATGTCTGACACAGAGTAGGCCCACTAGAGCTTCAGCCTGGAGGCTGGCCAGCATGTTGGGGTTGGGGGCAGCCCCAGCTTCCGCTAGAGCCATCTGGGAGACAGTTTTAATTGGCCCACACATTCCTGAGGAGACAAGCCAGTACTTCTCACCTAGCTCTGCCTTCCAAGTTTGTCTCAGCATCCTGGTTATAAGCATTGAGGTTCCTGCAGACGTGAGCTCATTGGGGCTGTCGGGGTGGGCCAGGGCAGTGGAGGGGCTATGGGGACATTTCCTCTACTCGTAGTCTCCTCAGTTTCTCCATGGCTATTATGGCCTCTTGGACTTTCAGGTCATGGGCAAAGGAGACTCAGAAGATCTGCTGATTGTGAAAGGCCATTGGAGCAGAAGAGGCCAGGGATGAGCTTTGCCTGGATCTGCCTCTTTCCTCCTACTCACATCTGGGGACAGGAGAGGCAGGAGGATACTTAGCCTGGATAGAAGCTGGGGTTTACGCTTGGGTATGCTCTTCCTGGTCTCTGTTCTGCCTGCTTTAGTCCATGCTTGAAGTTCAAAGATGTCTCCAAGTCTCAGTCTTCTTGGTTGGGGATCACACCCCCTTCATACTTGGGGAGCCCCTCTGCTATAGCCACTGAGGTACCCAGGTAGATTAAAGGGGGCACAGAAATCCTTTGTATCTAACA